AAGAAATATTAAAAAAGATTTAATAAAGATCTCTATTTCAACTGCAGAGCTGATAATCACTATATCAGTAATTATAAGAAGCTGAAGAAGAAAAGAAACTGAGAAGATATCTTCTCAAAGTTAACTTCTCTTCTGACAAATATATCTATAAAAGATAAAGAAGAGAAAGAAAAGAATTGATAATTCTCATATCTCTGAGTTTATATTATAATTACAATACATACTCTGAATAAGAAGATATTAGTAAGATGCCTACTTAACTTCAGAGTGAATACTAACTTTATATTCTATTTCTTTTCTTTAATGAAGAGTTGAAAGAAGATAGATTTATCAGATCATATGAAATTTACAGATGAAATAAAATATCACTGTTTTAATATAATTTAAGCAAAGTGTGTGATCACAGACTCAGAAGAAATCTTTAAGAAGAGCAGTCTGCTTCTTCACACAGTTAATATCATAGATGAGAATGTCATTCTAGATCTTCTATAATTGAGAGAAAACAATTCTCTCATTGACTGAGTCACTCAGATGTGACAGTACTGTCTCACTGATGAAGAGATAGTAATAGAGAAATCTGAAGAGTTTCATCAGAAGAATCTTGAGAAAAAGATAAAGTCAATATACTGTGTAGCAGATGATTGAGACTTGAGAATAGATGAAGAAGTCATCACTCTCACTGCAAGATTAGCAGCAGTATTTATCATTGAAGATGAATATATATAATATCTCTTTACAGATTTTAAGAATGTCTTTTTAAAAAGAGAAGCAGTGAAGTTTCCTGATATCAAGATACAATATAAGATTCATCTTGAAGATGATATAATAGCACTGTACAGATCTCTTTACAACTTATCTGTAAAGAAGTTAAATGTTCTATGCAAATATCTTGAAGAAGTGCAATTAAAAAACTGAATATATTTATCAAAGAGTTCAGCAGAGACATCTATACTCTTTGTACTTAAGAAGAATGATAGACTACATCTATGTGTAGACTACAGAGGCCTCAATAAAATGATAGTTAAGAATTACTATTTATTACTATTAATTAACAAGATGATTGATTGATTATCTGAAGCAAAGATGTTCTCAAAGATTGATATACAGAATATCTATTATAGAATCAGAGTTAATAAAAACAATATTTAAAAAATGACTTTTTATACTAAGTACAGTAATTTTGAATATCTTGTTTTATCTTTTAATCTTTGTAATACTTCAGTCATCTTCCAGACCTATATAAATGAGACACTGTGAGGTCTTGTTAATGTCTCCTGTATAGTATACCTAGACAACATTTTAATCTTCTCAAAATCAGAGAAAGAATATGATACTCATATTCAAGAAGTATTGAGTTACTTGAGACAGTATCAACTCTATACAAATACTGAAAAATACTCATTCTACATGCAGAAGATTGATTTCTTAGATTATATTATTAAGATAAATGATATTTTAATGAACAGAAGCTGAGTCTCTGCTATTAAGAACTGACTAATGCTGTGAACATATCATAAGATGCAGATGTTTCTAGAATTTACAAATTTCTACAGATAATTCATCTATATATATTTACAGATTACTGTCTCTCTTACAGATCTGTTAAAGAGAAGTATGAAAGACAGAAAAATAGAACTGTTTATTCTCATTCAAGACACTGTGCAGATATTTACAGAATTGAAACAAGCTTTCACAGATGTCATAATACTGAATCATTTTAATTCTGACTTACTCAGTCAGTGTGAGACTGATGCATCTGAGAATGAGATCTATGAAATCTTTTCACAGTTAATATCAGAGATCTTTCAATATTGAAAGAATCAGAGAATAATCACTTCTGAGAAAATAGATAATGAATTGTCTGTGAGAGAAGGCTTTTTCACAGAGTCTATAAGACACTGTAAATGAAGATCAGTGACCTTCTTCTTCAAGAAGTTATCACTCATGCAGAGAAGGTATAATACTCATAATCAGAAGATGTTAGCAATTATTGAATTCTTTAAGATCTGGTGACATTATCTTTAGAGTAGTAAGTACTCAGTGTAAGTTCTTACTAATCATGTAAATCTGTATTACTTCTTGACAACAAAGAGCTTGATAGAATATCAAGCCAGATGAATGAAGCTGCTTTCAGAGTATGATTTCTATATCTGATACTGTTCAGATTGACTTAATCTCACTGACACACTGTCTAGACAGTCTGATTATAATATCATTGATACAGAGAAGAATTTTACAAAAGAATCTCTATCATCACTGCAGAAGAAGCTGGCTGCAGAGAGTTAAAATTCTCTAAAGCTCAGAAACAGCACTGAAGAGGCAGCTGTGTGACTCAGTATAGAAGGTGAAAGAGAATCTAAGTCTCTGTAGAGAACTGACACTGAAGATTATGAGCTTCTCATATCATATTTTACAATCATTGAATTGATAAAGAATGAAACAGTCTACAATCTTTCAATCTGACTACTTTTGAAATTCATTAATAAGTTACAGAAGAGAGACACCTCTACTGCAGCTTGAATTCAGAAGTTGAAGAAGAAAGAATCTAGTTTAAACTTGAAAGAGACAGACTCTGAGCAGAGCAGTGCTGCTAAAGAATCAAGTTACTGATAACTAGAAGAATATAAACTTCTACTGCTGAATGATTCAGTCTTCATCTCTTATAGCAGAGCAGTGTGTCAGAAGTTATTAAGAATTTATCATAATAATTCCCATACAGGGCACTTCAGGTTAGAGAAGACTGAGAAGCTTTTAAAACATAAATACACTTGAGACAAGCTTCAGACAGATGTCAAAGAGTATATTAAAACTTACAATATCTATCAAAGAATAAAGATTCTGCAGTATAAGTAATACAGTGAGTTGATATCACTATCTATTTCAAAGAACTTATAACAGAATCTATTAATGAATTTCATAGTTAATCTGCTGAAGTCAATAAGAGTCAAAGAATATAACTTAATTTTAGTTATTATTAACTACTTTACAAAGATAATCAGATATATTTCTACTCATAAAAAGATTAAAGCCTCTGAATTGACTGACCTGTTTTTAGATATTATTATTCATGATCATGATGCTCTGAAATTGTTGATAATAGATTGAGAATCCCTCTTCATCAGCAAATACTGATTGGCTTTTTACTATCATCTTATAATAAGGCATCTTCTTAGTACTGTATTTCATTCACAGATCAATGACCAGACTGAACACTAGAATCAGACACTAGAACAGCATCTTCAAGTGTTCTATTCATATTATCAGAATAATTGATCTAAACATCTTCTGACTGCTGAATTCATATATAATAATATAAAGAATGCAATCTTAAAGATATCTTCTTTCTATATTTATTATGAATATAATTCTTTGTTACTCAGTGACATTGTGAACAATGTTTCAAAGAGAGAAATAGACAGTTAGAATGTTAAACAGATACAGAGAACAGAGTATTTCTCAGTATCAGAAGTAAAAGTAAGATTGAAACTTTTGAACAAAATTTATAAGAAGATAATGAAAAGCATTCACTGCACTCAGAAGCAGCAGATAGAATACTATAATTGAAAACATTTTTTAATGAAGTTCTTAATAGAGAATCAAGTGCTACTTTCAGCAAAGAATATCAAGATAATAAGACTGTGTAAAAAGCTCAGTGAGTAGTGACTAGAATCTTTCTCAGTAATAAGAGTGATGAGTAAGCAGACATATAAGTTAAAATTACTCACAGAATTGAAATCAATTCATTCTATTTTTCACATTTTCTATTTAAAGCTCTATAAGCAATACTCTGAGACAGAGCTGTCTCAGCTGAATAATATTGAGATCAAGAGTAATACTGAATATCTTATACAGAAAATATTAAATAAGTGAATATATTACAGCAAGCTTCAATATCTCATTAAATGAGAAGATTATTCATTATCAGAGAATTCATGAGAACTGCTTGAGTATTTGAAAAATGCTGAGAAAGAGATTGTAATCTATAAGATGACTAGTAGAGACTGCTCTGTTATATATCAGAGATGTTGAATAAGAAATACTACTTAAGACTTCTCATTTTTTTTAAAGGATTTTTTAGAGATAATCTTATAGTGATAAGTTGATATTTTATAGACTCTGTAACACTCTTCTTCTATTTTCTTTCAAAGGGTTTTTAGAAGTTTAATGAGACTACACAAGTGTAAAATTCCTGAAGCAGTTAATAAGAAAAGAAAGAGATATTTGAAATTAATAAAAAGATTAATATTATTGATCTGCAGGTCACTGCTATTCTAATGAGACTGCAGCCTGCTGAAAAAGTAAAAAGAGAGATCAGAGCCTACTCATCAATAATCACACTCTCATCAAACTCATTCTTCACTGTTGAAGTCTCTGACATTAATATCTTTATCTGCTGAGAAGTTAGTGCTGCAGTACTGCAGAGAAGCATGCTATAGAAGAGTATAAGAGATACTGAAAGTATTAACTTATCAACTTATAAAGCATCTCAGTCATCTGCTTTAACTGAAGTAAGATTCTCTTCAATCAGTGATTGATCTCTGCAGTGCTTTCAATGATGATATCAGCTGATCTCTTCTTAAGATCAGTCATTCTGAGATATTTTTTCATCTCAGAGATTCATGCTTTTGTCTTCTTTTATAGATGAGCAAGAAAGACCTTCTCAGTCTTGACAGAATCTGTCAATACTTAAAGCTCTGAGACTCTCACTCTGTACTGCTTGAGTATCTAGACTTCTTATCAGAACTGACATGACATCTTTCTGTGAGATAATACTTATAGAGAGGCAGAAGTTATTGTTACAGATATAACAGAAATAACAGAAGTGAGAGAAGAAATGAATATATAAAATCTCTTTCTTCTTCAGCTGCTTGACATAGTGTAGATAAGTAGCAGTATCAGTCAGAGACTGCATCAGAGCCTTCTTACAGAGAGAAGATGAAGAAATCACAGAACTCTGTGAACTCAACTCAGCAGTATTCTGAGCAGGGCTCAGATGTGCCATGAAAGAGGAACTACAGATTGAGCTTCTCAGAGTCACTGTTTCTGAAATCAAGCTCTTTCTGAGTTCCTCTCTGAATGACCACACAGGGTCATACATCACTGTATTGGCTGGGGGAGAGGGCGGCATCACAACAGCGGTGGGGAGGGCAGGAGATGAACCAGACACAGATGAACCAACTGACAGAAGAAATGACACCTCACTGCAAGGCATGGTGACTATCACTGCAGCTGTAAAAGAAGCAGAAGAAGAAGAAGATGTAACAATGAGAGCAGTGCTCTCACAGCTCATTGATGCTGCTGTCTCTGCCTTCAATCTGGCTTTCTTAACAGTCATGAAGACTGTCACTGCATCATGAAGATGTTTACTCACTAGAAAATGTCAGAATAAGTCCTTAATTATTCTTCAAGAATGATACTCTTATACACTCACTGTTATAATTAAAGAGAGAAAAGAAAAATATTTCACAGAGAGAGAAGATCTTTTTAAAAAATTCTGTCACTACTATTAGCTTTATCTCTAAAAACACATCACTTTTGCAGAGAATTTTATATATAGAATAAAATATATTGAGAGATCTGCAAGCTACTTATTAACTACATTTTCCATATTTCAAATTAATATATAAGAAACTCACTTACCATGCATTTGATTTGAATGAAGATGAGAAAAGAAAGATCTACACAGTCAGCAGAAAAACTCATCTATTTCTTTATACTACATGCAGTATATATACTGTCAATCAGTTAATAACTGTTATTATATAACAAAGATAATTTCTAATCTGATAATCTTGAGAGTATAGAGACTATGCTCTTAAAGAGAAGAGTATTATCACACTCTCAGCTGTGTCAAGACTCTGTTGCAGTTTCACACAGCTCATTGCTTTCATATGAATAATTTCATTCTGTCTGAACTGGTTTTCAACTGCTCTATAATATCATTCAGATATATTATAGAAAGATCTGATTGATGAATATGAGAACTCTGCTTCTATACAAGATCAGCAGATTACTTTTTCTTAACAGTGAGATACTGCTGAGATATCACTTTGACTATTCTTACTCATAGAATGAGAGAAGGTATCTGCTCATTGTCTATATAGAATAGCTAGATGCTGGCTTCTTATAAAAGAAGTCAGTAATTTGTTTCTTTTGCTATGAAAGAAATATATACAAGAGTTACTGTATGTCTCATATAATCTTCTTAGTATACTAAGTATCATATCTGTGATATTCTTGCAATAACTCTGTAGCCTATGAGCTCACTATTCAAGCAAGATAGTCAAGCTCACTCATTCAGCTTCTCAAACAACTACTTCTATATAACACTGCTAACTAGTCACTGCTTCGGTTCCGCTACATTATAAATATCTGAAGCTTCATTTTCATAACTGTGAAGTTCTCAGACATTTGTAAAGTTATTATATAAATGAACTTGTCTTCTCTAATTAACTCTGCAGTATCAACTGATTCTATCTTTATAAGTAAGTCTGTTAACACTGATCAGAAGTATAAACCTGACTTATAGATAGCTATATACAGATTATATCTTTAAAGTTATATAAGTCTTAAATACATGTTATCTGTGATATTTATAATAATTATAGTTTTTATAAATCTTCTTCAGATTCTGAAGAGATCTTGCAATTCAAAGATAACTCTTATAAGTTTCTCAGCTCTCAGGTCTGAGTTCTCACATTCTGCTTATTATAAGAGTAGATTCTCAGTTTTTACTATTCAGCTTATTTACTTTATAAGCTTTAGAAATACTACAGTGACCTGAAATTCTGAGTTCATTAATACTTCTCATACTTATAGAGCAGTAGTACTGCAGTGTAATCTCTCTCTGTAAGCAAGTATTTTCATTGAGAGAGTAACAGATTCAGATGTCAGCTTCAAGACTCTTAAGAAGACTGTTACTGACTCTGTTCATAACTTCTTAAATTTCTATTTTGATTTATCTGAACAGTTTGTACAGAGATGTTCTGATTTAGAACAGATAAAGCAGAGTCTCTTTTTCTTAGTCTTTCTATTATACACTCTGTTCACAGAAGCTTATGAAGCTCTCTCTCTCTACTCAGCAGTCAGATATGAATCTCTCTATATCTTATCATCTTTTTCTGACAAATCTGTTCTCTGTTATTCTGACTCTTGTAGAGCTAATTGATGATCTGCTCTTTACAGATCTGTGACTCTCACAGTGATCTGTAAGCAGTGAATAAGAGTTATCAGTTTCTTCAGAGTTAAGAACTTAGAGTCTTACTCAATGAGCTTGTTCTGTATTATAGCGGGCTGCGCCTGATCAATCATATAGACTATTCTGTTACACTTCACAGATTTCAATCACTTCATTCTCAAATATGTATGCTCTGATTCTCAGTCATTCTCGATCACTGATTCTCGGCCGCTACAAACATGTGTATATTCTCCCACTCTGAAGCTCCACCGTGTATGCCATCACATATATGTATAAATATTCATCTCAATCACTGATTCTCATACTTTCTCTTTCTTTTCTTCTCTAATGTTTTTATCTTTGTTATATAAGATCTATCAATATTATACTGATCTATTTAATGTAGGCCTCTTATACTATAAAAATGTTCATTGTCTTCTTATTAGAAAATGATTATTCATGCATTATCTTCTCATCAGAAATAATTATTCATCAAGAGATATCTGAACATGTAACAATGTGTAAGAAATAGAGAAATAGTTAAATGAACACTGAGTTCTCAGATAGAAGCTGCTTATCAGTCACTCTGACTCTGTAATAAAATTCTACAAAGAGAATATCAGTGAAAGATCTGAGAGTTCTGACACTCAGATGTATGAGATATTCATATAATTATACTTCTTCAAATTCCATAGATATCACACATCTGATAAATGATATAATCATGTCTAATAATAATATAAGAGAATCTCTGAACATAAGCATAGACACAGTATCACAGTGACTCTGAGCAATGTTGAAACTATAATAATAATAAATAGCTGATATGCATGCAACTCAACAACATTAATATGAAGAGATTCAATAACTAACTCACATAATTTCAACATCTACAGAATTAAATATAAAAGTACTGAAAGAATGCTTAGATACTTCTATATATTTTAATACTTTCAATCTCACTCTCTACTCATCATGAAGAATGAAAATACTTATAAAACTGAGTATAGATAAAGATATCATTGATTCATTAATTAATTAAGATTGATATATCAATGAATAATTAAAAGATTATATAAAACAGAAGTTTTATTTATGAATAAAAGCATGTGAATCAGTGTTATAAATATCTGATAATATTATAAAATATCTTGATATTCTGTTCTGAGACACTGTCATACAATAGAAAGTATTAGATTGATTACAGAGTATCTGATAGAGAAACATTTCTCTTATAATATTTATCTCTGACTTCAATATTAAGATTCTAGAAGCAGATGATTAATCTTGAGAGAATTGAATAAAGATTAGTATACTCAAGAAGACATTAACTTTCAAACTCTTACAAGCTCTTATAAGTGCAGATAAAGACCAGACTTATAAAGACTTCTATATACAGCTTCAGATAATGAATGACTGTCTTACTAAGCTCAAGAATATACAGAACAGTGATAGAAGATATTATATCTCAGTGACTTATACACCTGCATCAAGGAATAACAATGATGCAGATACTATGAATTAAGTAGACTTAAATATCTATACATAAGCAAGAGTCTCTGCTGTCTGAACAGACTTTCAAGTCTCTGAGATCACTTCTGAAGAAGTTGCTGATCAATGTCAATGTGAAGTATACATCAACTGTAACTGATCAGAACACATTGCTTTCAACTGCTAATCAATCTATGTATCTTCATACTTGAGAGAAAGATCAGTGTCTTCTTATTTGAAGAATGAATCAGCATCTATTCATATCAATCATATTATATTAGAGAAAGATTCAGAAGATAACTATGAGAATACTCTGATGAAAGAGAGAAAAGATTAGCTTCTGTTCAAATTTATAAACAGAAGCTTGAAGAGATTGAATGATAATAATTTAAAGAGAAAATGATAATAAATGTGATTCTTGTATCTACTGTAATTGATAATATGTATAATATAAAAGTCATAATAGACAGTGATCTATGCTACTATATAATGATAAAATCTTCAGTCATAAGATATTATAATCTTCAGTGTATTTCTTTATTAAAATCTTGACTTCTCACAGAATTTAATGATTTAAAAGACATTTATATCTGTTACATAATGAAGCTGATCATAGATGTGAGAGAACATCAATATAAAGATGTCTATGTATATAAAGTTGATAATCTTGATTATAATCTTATATTAGAACTTGTCTGGCTATCTGAACAAGATATCTTATTAAATACTTGAAATAGAAGCTTGATATTCTTTAATAATGATAGAATTTATGAAGATGACATTTACAAGACTATTGATCTGACACAGATCTCTGTCAATATCTATGAAATGCTCAGAAAAAGAAGTTGCTGAAAGAATTACTGATAGTAGAATTATATATCAATCTATTTCATTAGTCTGACTAATATCAAAAAGGCTCTAGAAAAATTATCTTATATTATAATAACAGATTCTTGTATAAAACTCTCTCAACAATATTATGAATATCTAGATATTTTCTGACAAGATAATATTATAAATATATCTCTCTTATAAGGTCTCAGAGTGAATCACAGTATTAAGTTAGAGAAAAAGAATGATAAGAATTCTGAATTATTATGAGACTCTCTTTATAACATGTTCTGAGATAAACTTCTTCTTCTTCAAAAGACACTCAATAATCTGTTGAATAAAGAATTCATACATATTAGCAACTCTTCTGCTACAGTCTCTATTCTCTTTGCAAAGAAATCAGATGAAGAACTCTGATTCTGTGTGAACTACTGAGATTTGAACAGATTGATAAAGAAAGATTGATATTTCTTATCTCTTATCAATGAAACTCTAGCATGAATCAGATGAGCTTAATAATTTATAAAACTAGATATTATCACTATGTTTTATAAGATTTATATCACTGAAGAAGATGAATGACTTACAGTATTTCAAATATATTATAATCTCTTTGAATGAATAGTCACACTCTTTGAACTGACTAATACTCTCAGTACATTTCAGAAGTATATCAACTGAGTACTCTGAGATTTTCTTAATAAGTTTATATTTACTTATCTAGATAACATTCTTATCTTCACTAATGAATTCAGAAAAGAATATTAAGAGTATGTATGAAAGATATTATAATAACTACAAGAAGCAGAACTATCAATAGATATTAACAAGTATGAGTTTGAAGTCAAGAGTATTAAG